GGTGTACTTACTTTGAGCCCAGCCCTTCGGGGGAAATGGAGTGTGATAGCCTAAATCCAGGGATGCGATTTCTTCTGAGTCTTTGCCTTTTTAGCTTTTGCTCTCTTCCTCCTCAAAACACATTTATTACTCTTTAAGTCAGTTTAGGTTTCTAACACAAATACTATTTATTTGTTTTTACTGGGTAGTAACCAACAAGTATATATTTCTGTTCTGGAGGCTGCCAGGTCCAAGATCAAAGTGTGGTAGATTTGGTGTCTGGTAAGAACCCACTTCCTGGTTGCTGTGTCCCCATATGTCAAAGAGCTCTCGTCTTTTCCTCTTCTTAAAAGGGACACTAATTCTACCATGAGACTCCATCCTCAGGCCCTCTCTAGACTTCATCACCTCCCAAAGACCCCACCTCCAGATACATCACACTGGGGATTAGGGTTCGGCATATGCATTTTGTAAGGACACAAATTTTCAATCCATAGCAAGTACATATCAGCTTTTTGTGTGCTCAGACAGGTTGGAGGAACAGAAAGCTTAAATCCAGGGTCATCTCTGTTGAGGATCATCCTGGTGGGCAGAACAGGCAGTGGGAAAAGTGCCACAGGGAACAGCGTCCTCTGCCAACAAGTGTTTAAGTCCAGGCTGGGGCCCAGACACTGACCAGGACGTGCCAGAGAGCAACGGGCAAGTGGAACGGGAGGATCATCCTGGTGGTGGACACGCCCTCCATTTTTGAGGCAAAGGCCCAGGACCAGGAGACATACGAGCACATAGGGAATGCTACCTGCTCTCGGCCCCCGGGCCCCATGTGCTGCTGCTGGTGACCCAGCTGGGGCACTTCACTGAGCAGGACATGGTGGCCGTGACCAAGGTGAAGGAGGTCTTTGGGGCAGGAGTCATGAGACACATGGTCATCCTCTTCACCCACAAGGAGGACTTGGTGGGCGAATCCTTGGATGACTATGTAGCAAACACAGACAACCTCCAGCTGAAGAGCCTGGTCCAGGAGTGTGGGAGGAGGTACTGTGCCTTCAACAACCGGGCCACTGGGGAGGAGCAGAGGGAGCAGCTGCTGGAGCTGATGGTCGTGATCGAGAGGCTGGAGAGGGAGCTCGACGGTGCCTTCTACACCAACGACCTCTTCTTTGATGCACAGATTCTCCAGCAAGGGGGGGATGATGCACGTGGAGAAGGCCACAGGCTCTACCTGGACAAGGTGCAGTCACAGGTTGTAAAGCAAAAGCAAGATCTGGA